CTGACATTGGATGGCTGGGGTCTTTGACTTTGTGGCCCTGGTCTTATGTTGGCTGAGGTGCTTCCGAGCACCTAGTCTTGGGGAGCTTTACACTCTTTGAGTGGGCTAGTTGTGGTCCTCGATTGGCTCTGTTCCGATCATTAGTCAGCTAGGTGTGCAGAGTTTAGTGCTCATCCTCTTGCCATTGTGGTAGGTACGTTGTTCCTGCGGTGCCTGATGGGGCTCATTTGGCTTTAGGTCTTGTCCGCTTCAATTTGGTCAGGTCTATCAATTGCTCCAAAATGAAACTTGTACATTTGTACATTGAACACAAAATGAAACTTTATTTCTTGAACTGCATACAACTAATGCTCGTCTTTAATCATTGGTAGTACATCCATAGATACCCGGTGTTCTAGCTCCTCAGCACCAGTTTCCCATCAAGGTCTTCTAGTTTGTAGGTGCTCGGGCCGAGGACTCTGGTCACTCTATACGGTCCTTCCCTGTTAAGTCCAAGTTTTCCTTCTCCTAGTTTGGGCACTATGACTTTAAAGAGGATGAGGTCTCCTGTTTTGAATTCCCTCCTCCAGACTTTGGAGTCATAGCGCATGGCCATCCTTTGCTATTGTGCTGCCATCTTGATGTGTGCTCTGCCCGACTACATATTTCTCCACCCAACTGACTTGAACATTGGAATACCTACCTGGGGATTAACTCCTCGAGCCTTTGACCTTTCTCTTGGTTGCATATCTCAGTGCACGACTTTGTCCTTCCACATCAGCCTTGTCTAGTTGGCAAGATTATCTAATTGTGTCATCGGTTCGAACAACATCAAGTTGACTTGAGTGTCAAAGTACCTACCTGGGGATTAATTCCCCGGGCCTCTGACCTTTCTCCTGGTTGCAGATCTTAGTGTGAGTTTCTCCTTCCACCTCAGCCTTATCTAGTTGGTAGGATTATCTAATTGTGTCATTGGTTCGAAACACCTCAGATCGGACAACATCACTAATTAATACCACTATTTTACATAAAATTGAACTGATACCATCACTTTCCATGTTCCTTTATATTGTTTGGTTGTTAGCCATCGTTCTTGTTAACACACCAAAATCACCATGATAAATTTAACAATCTCCTGTACCATGAAGAAGATGAAGAACAAATTTTTCTTTGCTTGAAACTAGGAAATTAGGATATTAGGCTTCCCTTGAAACTCAATAGGAACTAACAGAGAAAATTCTAATAAAAGTCATATGGTGTTGGTTTTATTTGATGCTAATGAATCATAACGACTATTGAACCCAATGGTTGTACTATATTACAATGGCTCGACACCCCACTGAGAGGACCTCTCTAACTGCAAAATCTTTACTCACCAATTCCTCAAGCACCAACCACATGGGAACAAGTTCACGACCAGTTCCAGCTGCAATAAAGATGCATCCAAAACTTTGATTGCTAGTAAAATCTCTTTGCCTCCGAGATGCCTTGATAAAGAATCTTTTACTTGTATAATTTCTTCAAAATTTGCTCGCCACTAAGGCCTGTTTCGAATCAATTCTAAAAATTTTCATTCTTAGAATCCTTTCATAGAAGAATGGATTTTGAAAATTTTCATTCAAAAAATTTACAATGTGTTTGGCATGGTCATGTCATTTTGTTTCTCAGAATCAGAATCATGTTTGGCATCACCGTATTTTTCAAATCAATTCCCTTACATAAAATCATGACAATTCTAATAAATATAAGTCTACTTCAAAGTACATTATACTCTATTATGTTTAAATCATTTTCAAATACATAAAAAAAGAGAGGAATCACACATGTTTATTTTAAAATTAGTATGATACATATGACTAATAAGAAAAATGCCTAACAAGTTGTAACCATACAACAACTGCACATAGTGATTGCAAAAATTGGATCCCTTATTTTTTTATTGAATCCTATATACTTGTGTGATAAATAATATGCATTTGGCACATCTCTCTCTCTCTCTCTCTCTCTCTCTCTCTATATATATATATATAGTAAAGAAAAATGTGTGATAAATAATAATTACTCTTATTCATGTTGGAATGAAATATAAATTTAAAACCAATCCAAAATAAAAATTATTTTTGTGGTGGTGGGTCAACAATTCAACCTTTTGAATCAAATGTATCAACCCTTGATATCATAATTAAATAAAAAATATAAAAATATAAAAATACACAAACATTATGTAATTATATGAAGTTTTGTAAATAACATTTAGACACCTGTATAATATTTTATATGAATCGTGTAAAAAAACAAGTATGATAAATAATAATTGCTTTATTGATGTTAAAAATAAAATTTAAAATGAACCAAAAAAATGAAATTTTTTTCCTAGTAGCGGATCATCAATTCAACCTTTTGGGTCATATGTGTCAACAATTGATTTCATAATTAATTAAATAATAAAAATTAAAAAGATAAAAATACAAAAATATGAAAAGAATAAAAACTATATAAAAAACATTTGGACACATCTCTAACATTTTATATTAATTATATCAAAAATTAGTCATGATAGACAAGAATTGTTTTTAAGATTTTATTTATGATATAAATAAAATACAAAATTCAAAACCAACCCAAAAGTAAAATGTTTTCCAGCTTTGTGGTAAATGTCTCAAGCGTTTTGAAAAGTTAAAAGTAAGCTTCACTAAGATTGGTTCAAGCACCAATAGAAAAATCTGGAGGTATTTAAAACTTACAAATTTAGAAAGATTTTTAGACGATTTTACCAAGAGGAAGGATGGCTGTTGGAAAATTTTTAAACCTCCCCTCAAGTTTCTAAGCACTACCAAAATCTGTTTAATCCTTGAACATATAAGACTGCATTGGTAGCTTTAATACCAAAAATTTTCTAAAATGTCTTTATGGGGTTCTAGATGTTTGAATCTGATACTAAAAATGCTCCTCGATACAAAGAGGGAAAGAAATGAAAGACTTTTGTAAGCCCATCAAAGACTATGTGTAAGGGAAAATCTATCAGTTTGACAAAAGAGATACTTTTTTGGGGGCTGGTCAGATTGAATCATTGAATTTATATTTGTCTTAATTTAAAATGGATAGGATTTGATTCTTATGAATTGGATTCAGGTAGGATTGATCCAAAAATCCATTCCATTCCTAACTGCAGGTGAGTCAGCCGATTCTTTTATGTGGGCTAAATTAATGGGTTTCTTTTTTGGTTGGGGCCCATTCCCCTAGACATAATCCCCAACCCTGGGTTGCAATGGGGTTTGATCACAAGTCTTCACTACAACTAGCCAGGTAATTTATCAATTAAGCCACCATCAGTTGGTAATTTAATGGCTTCCTCGTATTACACCTTATTCTCTAAATATGCCACCTGTCAAATTTGGGCCTAATCAGAGGTTGGCATGTAATCCAAAACTGCATTGACAGAGCCACTTTTCCTGAAAACTAGCTTCATCAGAAAATCGATTTATTAATTTTAATTAAAGCATATTCTGGTTTTTTGGGCTGTTCACCAAACATATCTTTTGAACTTTTATGTGTGAGGTCCACCTTGCAATGCTTGTCACTAGAAACCTTTGCACGAAAGCTCTCTCAAATGGCACTAAATGCTAATGTTAACAGGAGACAATAGTGAAAACCCAGAAGAGGGATGGCAATGGGGCAGGTTCGGGGAGGGTTTTATAAATTTTAGACTTTACCTGCCTCCCTAAAATCTTTCAATTCATACCCGCCCCAAAACCCATAGTAGGTCAGATTTTGAGGATCCAAACCTTCTCCATACATGAAAATGCAAAACCCTCATGAACCTATTCTCCTTGCATTTAGGGGTGCAAAATGGATAGGATCATAATCCGATTGGATCTGAGATCCGATCCTATTTGGTCGAATTCAGATCACCCCTATCTGATCCGAGAAAATCCGATCCGATGTATATTATATATTTATTATAAATATATATAATACATATATATATATATATATATATATATATATGTTACTTATTTATTTATAAGTATATTTTTTATATTATATTTTTATAAATTTATTATATTATATATTTTTTTATAAAAAACATGTATATATATGATGAAAATAATTAAAAAATACTTGTATTTTTTGTTTTTACTTTATTTGAATTAGTATATTTTATTTTTCTTTTAATAATTTATTAATTTTTAAAGGAAACAAGTCAGATTGGTTAGATCCAAAGGTCTGACTTACCGATAGGATTCGAATTCAAATAGAGTCCTATCATATCCGACTAGATCGGATTGGATCCAACATAAACAATGTCAGATTGGATTCGGATATACCCCGACTCAAATCCAATCCAATTTGTTTGCATCCCTAGTAGGGTGGATTGAGTTTAGAACTTGGATCTAATTTCTTATTATTTCTTGATATATATAAGCAATAAATAAGTAACATAACATGAACAAAAGCAAAATTACCAATTATTTCATTAAGACATATAAAAAACACAAATTACTAATTATCCTTAACATAAAATTCAATATATTATTAAATTCAACATCTAATACATAAAATTTATATGCTTCCCAATAATTTGAAGGTCAATGAGGGTTGAATTTAGCCTAATACCATATTTTACACGTACCCGTAGACGTTGTAAAATCCTAAAACCCATCTTCACCCCAAAATCCATATTAAGTAAAAAAAAAAAAAAAAATCAAGGCGGGTAGGTATGAACAGGTAATTAGAAATTACCATCCTTTAGAAATGGAAGAAAATCAGATTAAGACCAAGCACATTTTTCTTTTATTTTCTCTACCCAAAATGGAATGGGCTGGGCCCTACTAGTAGTTTAGCCTTTATCCATGCCAAAAAAGAAAAAAAAAATCAGCACATCAGATGATTTATGATTATAACCATGTAATTTTTAACGTTTTGGTTGGGATCCAATCAATGATGGACAAGGAAAAAAGGACACGTGGCAAGTTATAGGCGCTTTGTCACATATATCGTGTCCCCACTAGCATCTATCTGCAAATCCGAACATTTCTCAAGAGAAATAGCCCATATAAATGGATAAATTGATTTCAAAGTCAAAAATCAAAATCAGTTCTAACTTTATTCACAACTCATTCTCTACAGAAATAGCCACGGCAGCATCAGTTGAGTACTGAGTAGTGTCCCTTCTCTTGTTTATAACATGTCTATGGCCCCACTGAGGGATTCAGATTTCAGAGAGATCCGTCCGCTTGATTGCACAAATTGAAACTGCAGGCCCCACCCCCCAGACCAGATCTATCACCGTCTCATGATGTCAAGATAGAAAAACAAACAACTCCAACGTTCCCTTCTGCATTTGCTTTGTTCCATCAAGTTTGTTAATCTATCCTTTTCTGTTCCTTCTTACTATTGAACATTTGAACCATCCTCTATTCACAGCCACAACTTTCTTCTGCATTGCCAACCATACACGTGGCCCATTCTCCACCGTCCAAATCATCTCAACTAATAGACAGTCCACCTACTCTTGTCAGGAGCGGTGGAAAGGATCAGAGACTTTTCTGTCTTTGTCGTTAATGCAAGATGTTTCTGGCGCCATGTCAGCAGGAGGAATTCGTGTTCTTGTAAGGAGGGATACAGGAGATGCCTTGTCTATGGAGCTCGGAAAGAACACTTTCTGTTGATGGAGGCTTGAGGCCTAAGGGCAATGGCAGCCATGGCTTGCTTATTGCTTCCTTCACAACTTTGTCTATTACCTCCTCTGCCTGCATAAAACAAGATGGCATTTCATCAACTAACAGGGGCATCTTAGTATATGAACTTCAACCAACCATCACATTCATAGACATTATTAGTGCATGCATATGGGTGCTGTAAATGATGAGATAGGTCCACCACTATGGTACCAAACTATTAATGTACACGGCCCAATTTCTAAATTCTTTTGAACCCCCGGTCTACGTTACCCAAATCCGGCGACGATATGGCCGGATACGGTATCGGATATGGAATTTACACTTGAAATTGAAATATCTGACACAATGTGGCACCCTTGTGCAGGTATCCAGGTATCATAGGTCCCCCATTCAATGGAGCCACATTGAGATTGGATGTTTACATGGTTCAGAGATTAACCTATTGGGTGTCTTCTTGCTCTCTTTTTGTGTGGGAGTGTGGACTCAAAACTTCTAATCACAATCATTTCCTGGCTGGTTCATCCAAGATGATATACTTGCACTCTCATGGCAAGAGAACTACAAATTAGCCTAAAAATGACAAGATGGCAAATAGTGACCCCAGTGCCAACTTACCAAACCCAGTCGGACCATCATACTCAGGCTATGATATGAACACTAAAAATCTGGTTCCACAAGCCAAACCTGACCCGATTTTGAGAATCATCACAGATTGCAGTCCTTAGTCTACCATTTCGTATTTATTTATTTCAGTTCTATCCATAAAGGGGTCATAATGGAGTAAACCAAGTAAGCCCACTTTTACACCACTTACTGCAGAGATATATTAAGGTAGAAACAAACACGTAATTCCAAGTTCTAGTTACCGGATGAAGGTCAATGTAATTCCCCAGTAAGTTGCCTTTGTCTTCAAAACTCTGAAATCCCAAGGAGTTCTGTAATCAAACAACCGTCAATGGTAATATATAAAAACCTTACACGGGCATTTGTACATATATATTCATACAATGCAAAAATGAATATATATATCAGCATACTTACTTGAGGAAAGGTAGAATATGGACCTTGAGGCATTGGCATCACAGGGCAACCCCATGCATCAGCATGCATCTGAACATGATGATGTTAACAGTAAAGGACAGTCATTAATGTGTACAAGATTATAATCAACCAAATAAAAAAATATATATTATCAATAGAACTAATTTTTTGACAGTGCTGGACCAACATTGGCCATACTTCTGTTTTATATTATGTTTGTATACGAGGCAATTCCTGTGAAGGTGAATATTGCTAAATCAAGAAGCTGCAATAAAAGATAAAAGTGCACTCTAACAATGGGAAGTATAGCCTAACACTTAGAATGATGTTCTAGGGTTACTTAAATATTTGAAGATGGATCTAACCACTTGAAGTACTTGGGAAGTTTAAGATTTCAACATTACCCCTGGATAAGTCTTCCATGGACAACTTTCTGGAGACTGCCACGTGGGATAGCTGGGGTGACCCCAAACTTGAACACTGGAAGGGTGACTGCTAGGATGGCCCCATGCAGGGTAGTGTTGACTGGGTGAGAAACCATGACCAAAATGGTAAGGAGGGAAGGCCATGACAGGTTTCTGAGGATAAACCCTTGGGGTGGTGTCTCTAGGAAGCTGCCATCTCCGATCATCTTCCCTTGGTATAATGTGTCTTCGATGCATTCGATACTTCTGCAGGGATAAGAAATAATCACTCAGATAATTGTATCAGGGGCCAATGGTGTTCCTACAACTATAGCATAAAGATTGTTTAAATTGGCAAACCACTTCATGGATAATTGTAACTCAAAATCATATCAATCAGTGACAATCATCCATCTAATAATTAACATTTTGCAAAACTGTTAAACCACATTTTTTTAGCGCATCATACTCAGATATTTTTCTACATTGATCTAGATTATAAACTAAGAAAGAAAATAAAGAACAATTATATTATGCATGGCAAAAAACGGGAATGATCAATTGGTTATAATCACTGAAGGAATTCACGTTTTGAATTTCTATGTTCAAATACCATGAAAAATTCTTGAGAAGAACTCAAAATAAAAAGAATTGACAACCCCTGAAATGTGAATAGCTAAAGGAATATGATACTACTGTTTGTATTTAATGTTGTTAATACAAATAACTTTTTTTTTATAATTTTGTTAATACAAGTTATATTGACACCGAAGAAAATATAAAATCTGCATTTCCTACACTGACCTGGAGGTGGCTTGCCACATTATGCCTTGTCAAACCCTCCACTTTCATTAACTCCAAGATTTGAGAAGGGATGGCTTGGTCGACACCTAGATGCTCAATTGCCTGCACAAACCGTTTATGCAGTTCGGGTGTCCAGTCTACCTGAAATCCCAAAAAAAAAACAAATAAAATTGGTGCAAATTTTCATTCTTTAAAATCTATTAGTCATAGCTGGAAGTTAAAAAAATGTACTTGTTTTTGGCAGGGTTAAGTAATTCTTATGCCTTTCAAGTCAAATTGTTAGACAACCTGGATATGCATGAATTACCTTCATCTTCTTCTTGTTAATATTGGTCCTACATGAATTAGGAATAAGAGATGCCTTCTTTGAGTTTCCAGCATCAATTCTAGAATCCTCTGCACTTCCTTTGTCCTGTGGAGGAGAAGATATTCTATTTCCAGTCTTAGAACCATCAGTTGAGTCATCCTCTTCCATAATCCCACCCTCTTCACATCTTGGTGATGGCTCTGCCTTAACAGTAATCTCCACAACTGTGTTGTTGCAAGTAGTTTCAACAAATTTGGGATCTCCTTGGTCCTCAATCTCTTTTTCTAATAAAAAGTTAGACTGATCATGACACTCCCCATCATCCAAAAGTCTTTCCCCTTGTTTCAACTGTGGGGTTGAAGGTGCTGGGAACCTATCTGTGGCTACTGACTGCTCATGACCCTTTTTGTGGACCTGAATCTCATTTTCTGCTTCTAAAATGTTTTTCTGCTCCACTTTGGTGGTTTCCAGTTGGAGTTGAATCATTGAAGATACAGTTTCTCTGATGGGTTTCAATGGTTTGGAGACAGCATTCTCCCCTGCATTGAAGGCCTGTTCAGGATAGACTCAGAAATTTTTCCAATATTTAGTTTATGGCATTAGCAGTGCATTTGAGGAGAAATAAAAGATCAAAATTTCCCAAACCCAGGAATTATTCTGTATGATCTTACTTTATGGACCACATGCTGCCATATGTTCCTAAGTTTATCTTCAGATAATGGTTTCTGAAGGAACTCTGCTGCACCAAGCTGAAAATATTATGCAATTAGAGATTTTGATGAGAATAGATAAAATATGTGTAAAATATTCCAAAGAACGTTTTTGAGAATTAGGAGACTTGATTAGAGAACTTACAGCAATGCACTTCATCATAGTGCTTAGACAATGAATATTTGAAGTCACTGCAGCAGAAATTATCCATACATCAGCTGTAAAATATGCTTACATGATGAGAAAGATAACTCCGAATCATCTGTATTCCACCTCATTCTTGTAGTTTCTTATGCAACATTAACATTCTCTAGTTTCCCATTGACTAAGAATAGTGGCTTGATAATTAGAAATAGTCAATGGTTCCAAACTTGAAAGAGAAGAAAAAAAGAGGAAAAAAGGCATAAAGAAGAAAAAACCAGGAAAAAAAGCAAGACAAAATATTCAAATATTAAAGAAAAATAGGATTGTGCTAACTCTATAATAACCAGAATAGAAAAAGAAAATTTAAGCCAATGTCAAAACATAATATCTAAAATGGAATAGCTATAGGAATTGATTAAACTTACTGACAGTTGGCAAGTCTTTAGCTGTCTCAAGGAACCTGAAACTCCCATAGCTTTTGCCCACACTCACCTGTAACCACAAATGCAAGATGGGCATATATGTGAGATACCATAACATATATTATTTTTATGTCTATAATGCACAAGAATATTAATTCAGATGTTTTAGAACCCTGATTACAATTAAACTTCTTTACCTCTACTATTGCAACATGGAAGTTCTCAGGTTTGTTTGCAAGTTCTGTCAAAGCATCACTCTCATTGGAGAATGTAGAAACTGAAAACAGCAAACACAATGTTACAATAAAGGAAAATGAGATCTGAGATCAAATCAATTTCTTTTGTCCCTCCAAATGCATTGGACTGAGTATTATCTTTAGTTCTTTTCTTTTCTTTTTGGGTGGGGGTGGTTATGGGGTTAGGAACTGACATCAGTTAAACACCTTCAGAGATTTAAACACGAGTTTATCGTGTGGAGATGGATAATTTAGGAATTGTAGCAGAGGAATGCATTGATATAGGTAAGTAGCAAATATAGAAGTTTTAAGGTAGAGATAAATCTATGGATATGGAGAACAAATAGGAAAGTGGAAACAGAGATAAGAGATTTATATTCCCAAATCCTAAGAGATGTACTCCTAGCTAGTTTCAACTATCCACACACACACACACAACTATTAAGATCACAGAACAACCCAGCAGAACAAATATAAGAAAAAGCATGAGTAGTATTTCTCAAACGAGTATTCAACATCTCATAACAAAATTTGGGTTGAAACTGGCTAAAAAGAGAGATTTTTAAAAGGTTAATAAAAAAAGGAAAAACTGTCTGGAATTCTTCCTAACAATTCCATTTATTTTAACATTATTGGTGCTAAAAATCTAATTATCAGTCTTTTTAGCATTAAAAAAAGATATTCCCCTGCGTACCATCACAGTTTATTCTAAGATGCATAAACCAAATAAAACCTGAAACCATGTTGGACAATGGCACACACCAATTGCAGCCAAAAAAAAAATGAAAAAGGAAAGCTAAGACATGCAGAAGAGAGAAACACCAAGTTGCTAGTTTAGGAGAGGTGAATTTTTTAATATAAAGCTTAAAAGAACAAAAGAGAAAATCAAATGCCTAACCAATATAGTGCATTTCTTCGAGCTTCGATTTTGTCTGAGCCACGGAAATGCTGTCTTCGTCAAGTAAAAGCACTCTGAGGCCCTTAGGAAAATCCTTCCAGCGCAGCAGATCATCGGCAGTGAAAACCATAGCTCTCTTGGCATCCTTTCTCGGGTCAGCTAAGAATGTCCAGGATCAGCAATTGTCAGCATCCCAGTAATTATGCAGGACCCAGATCATAACCCTGCTCGACAAAAAAAGAAGACCACATCAAATCCTCAGTCCTCAATCTAAAACTTTATCTTACGAAGAAGAATGAGGAAAATAATAACTAAGAAAAACACATTACAGTTCCTAAGAACTGGAGATACATTTGAATGCTAAAAACTGTACAAGATAACGTCTGAGAGAACTTCAATATGTCGAACCAACTTCCCAAGAAAATTCAAGATAAATCCAGGGGAAAAAATCAGTCAAGTTCTTAAAAGACAGCCTTAGACCGGCCCGGAAACAGAACAGTTTCAAGCACGAGATAACAATTCAGCAGGACCCATATGATGAACCCGACAAATATTCAGGGATCAGTCTAGAAGTTTATGGAAGAAGAACCCACCAAATTCTAAGATCCTATTAGTGAATGCCCAGTTCTAAAACCAAGAATTTAAAAGATAAACCCATTTTAAATATTCCGGAATAAACAAAGAAGCAAACAAAATTCCAAAATTACTGAAATAGTACAACTTGTTGATTGAAAGATAGTCAACAAATACCTCCAAACTCATTCACAAATGAAAATTGAAAGAAAAGTATTTACGCAATTCTAAAAACAGAATTCAGAAAGCATTAATAAAGAAAATGCCCACAAATCTCAAGAAAAATAGGAAGAGACAGATCAAGCCAAAAGTGGAGAATCAAGCAAAGCAAACTAGAAATAGAAAAAAACAGTCATTACAGAATCCAGACACTGTAAATGCAAACCCATACGTTATAAGGAGACAAACAAACTCTTCACATTTGCTGGTATCACTCTTCTTCACTCGTAAACAGAAACATGCAGAGAGAGAGAGAGAAAATGCTAAATTACACCTGATAGTGTAATAGTGCGCTTTATGGTGGCGTCTATGTACAGCTGCTGTCGGTTGCTCCAGGCCACAGAATATGCAGTCTTCCCGCAAAAGGTCAAAAATTACTTCACACTTTCACCTAGATTCTTAACGACACCAAATTCGGCTCTCCTCTCGTTAATTGCATGATCCAACAAAATTACATATCTACCCTTGACTTTTTTATCCTTTTCTTTTCTACTCTCGTGATTCCATGGTTTTACCTTTGACCTCGATCCAATGGGAGCGGCCCTCCTAACACGTAGTCACACTTCTTCCCATTGGTTTCATAGATAATTCAGCCTGCACTTGCGCTGAAACAACTAAAAATCTAAGCCTTTGATTTATTGTCGTGGCCTCACCTTTAATGAAGAACTTCACTAAGACTGTGTTTGATTCGAAGGAAAAAGTAGGGAAAGGTAGGGAAATCATTACAAACTTTGTATAGATTTCCTACCTTTTCCTTCAAACCAAATATAGCCTAAATTTAAGGATTTTAGGGTTTGTTCTATTGTATGGTTAGAAAAGTTGTGCTTCATGGCCTTCATCCCATAACACACTACACCAACGTGATGTATTTCTGAATCATAGTTTTCAGTATGCTATATTCTGATCCGTTATAAGATGAGATCTAATAAAGATATGTTTTTGCATTATAGTGTTTTTTAATAAAATTAGTAATTAAGTACGTGCATTGCATGTATAAAGTTTTTTTCGTATTAATTATTTGAATTTTAAATATATCATAATAAAAATAGAAATTAAAAATTAATAAAAGTATAAATTTAAATATTTGTATTAAATGTCTACTTGCAGAAATTTTAAATAACAATAATAATAATAATAATAACAATAATAATAATAATAATAATAATAATAATAATAATAATAATAGGAATAATAATACTGTTGTTGTTGCTGCTGCTACTACTGTTGATGTTGTTACCGTTACTACTATTATTAAATTGTGTATTTCATTTCTGTCTTAAATAAAAATAATTTTTATTTTAGGGGAGGTTTCAGCCTTCCGATTATATTTCCCCTTCTTTCAAGAAATTGGACTTGAAGAGAGAGAAGCCGAAGTTCTCTTCCACAAAATTCCACTTTTGAGGTCTGCATCTTTGGAATTCCTTCGCACCCAACTTCTTTCCCTGTGTTCCGTTGGGATTGATGGCTTTTCTCTCTACCGCTTAATTACCAAACATCCTAAGTGTACCAACGGCAGAAGAAATTGGTCCGCTACTCTGTTTTGTTCGGGATGAATTGGAAGGTCAGATCGGACCCTTAAAGCTCAAATGTCTTTTAATTGTTATAGATCCCCAATTCTTCGTTGGTTTTCCCGGGAAGGTTACTTTGTTGCTTGATCATGGAATTCCCCGCCGAGAGATAGCTCATGTTATGTCAATCTAACCAAGGTGTTCTGCCATAAACCAGCCAAAGAGATTGAAAGAACTATCTTTTCCTGGAGTGGTTTGGTGGTGTCAATTTGATCATTCGACGACCTGGGTGTTCTTCTCCTTTGAATTTTCTGATTTCAAGTGAATTTACTATAATAAACCTCTTCTCATGTGGAACATATAGATACGAGTACTTTATTTCAAAGGGGAGAGAAATGAATGAGATTTTGAGAAATGAAACCACCAAATGCCATTCTCATCTAGATGATCGTGAGAATTAGGGGCATTCTTTTTTCCGATTTTGAGAAGGGAGAAAGTTTTGGTTTCCATTGACTAAGATTCTCATGTTCTTTTTTCATATTTATGTGAGGACCAGGGAAAGTTGATTTTCCTGGGTATCACTTGCCCAGATAGGTGGGTAAATAACTTTCCCACCTATGGCGAAAGTTGCCAACACTTGAATGGGACAAAAATGCCCTTTTTAATAATGAATTTTTATGGTTAAAATGGCCATTGCCTTATTTACAAAAGAAATAAAAGAATATGGGTAAATGCACTTACTCGGGTAAGTGTTTCTTAGGAAAAGCTTACCTAGGTAATCGTTGCCGCGCGGATTGGCCGAAAATAACGAGGTAAATTCACTCTTCAGGTTCCGAGGGTTGGCCGAGGACTCCAAGGCTTCGGAAAGTGTTGCCCGAAGACGAGGACTGTAAGCCAAGGTGAGGTGCTCCTTCCGAGGACTATGGTGGTCGAGGACCACAAGCCGAGGCAAAGTTCCTGGTGACCAAAGTTACTACAAGACAAGGAGTGTCAGAGGCCTCGGGGTGGATACCCGAGGCAGAGGCTCCGACGCTCAAGTTAGTACGATGTGTAAAGTAGGGGAGAGTGCAAAAGTGCTCCTGGAGAGAGTTCTCGGATGCACCAGATCTCCCTGAATTAATGATAGGAAGACAATGTAGGTGCAAGAAGTAAATGAGTGAGTGATGTTAGAGTTACTCTATTCCAGCCCCTTTTAAGGGGCAGTTACCTCTTATTTATACTTGAGCGTGCTGGTGGTAGGTGAAGATGAACGCCCCGGATGAAATCCGTACGAGGTCAGCCTACAGGCCCTGGCGGGTACACCAAACAGCTATGTGATTGGCTTCGTACGGTGGTAGTAGGGCTCCCTGATTGCTGCTGACGCTAACAGGCGTTAGTGGGTTGGGCCAAGCTAACCCACATCACTTGCCCCCCTAGTCCCAAGACTGAGGCGAGGCCTCGACTTCTGCCGTAATGAGGGTAGTAACCGAAGTAAGGCTTCAATTTCGGTCGGAAGCGCGAATGATGTTGATGCCTCGGCTTGGCGGGGGTGTCTCGTATCATGCACGAGCAAGTCACGTTAGCAGGGCTACCATGCAGGGGATGACCGTCCCAGGGGTCCTGTGTTTGCCGGGTTGAACGGTTCGCCCAGTGGTCCGTCATGAGCGGGCCTTCTGGTTCGCTCGGCAGGTTGCCAAGGGCGATCTTCGTGGTCCACCCGGCATCGTTTCGCCTTACGAAGGCATGCGCTAGGAGGTGCAATGAGACTGGTTCGCAGGAGCAAGGGGCTCCTGCATCCGTTGGATCTGTGTCGATCTGAACCGTTGCTTTGGGCGTCGTTTCGTCTTCCGAGGGCCTGCGCTAGGGGGCTCTCGCCTCCGTTGGACCTACGTTGATCTAAACCGTTGCTTTAGCCGTCATTTCGTCTTCCAAGGGTTTGCGCTAGGTGGCGCACCACAGTTGGATGGTGGTAGCAGATTGGTTTTACCCATCGGATTTAGAGAAATCCAGGCCGTTCATTTTCCTTTAAATAGGGGCCTTGGTAGTGACTTTCTTCTCCATTTGAACCTAGACGCCCTTGTTCTCAAGTGAACACAACTTCCTAACTCTTAATTCTCCCCAACTTTTCTACTTCTTCCCTTCTTCGATACATTTCACCCTCTCTTAGGTAATCAAGACATGTCGTTTTTAGACTCTGGTACTGAGTGCCATGAACTCCCAAACATCTCAGGAGGGAGCTCTCCCACAACCCCCTCTCCCCTATCTTCTCTAGGTTCTCTAGTCGTGCCCCCCTTCAACGGGAAGTGGTCGTTTTGAGGGAGAGGTTAACCTCAGGGGGTGTTGAGGGCAGTCATCGAGGAAAGGACTCTCCCCATGAAAGCACAGCCTCGACATCGTCGAGGGAGCCTGAGGGATCTCCTTTCTCCGAGGACGATGTCGTGGAAATCGTCGCCGGACCAGTGGGAGGGAGTGTTGCCCGAAGGGTGGCTGACGCTGGTGTCCCGCGTTCGGAGTTTGACAGCTCCTTAGATGTGTGCCAGGTCAAATCCTTGGCGAAGAGGTTCCACATACCCCGGTCTTATAACCTGAGGGTCCCCGATGTGAGCTTTAGGCCATAGGCCCTCGAGGAGGGGGAAATTTGTATCTACCAGCACTTTTTAGAGTCTGGCCTTAGGTTTCCCCTCCCAACCGTAATCTCTAAACTGCTAGAGTGGTACGACATCACTATCAGCCAGCTCATACTCAATGCCCTCAGGACCATAGTGGCGATGATGGTGTGGGCTCGACTTAGGGGCGTAGAGCTGACGTTGAGACTGTTCCGCACCATTGTCGTGCCGAGGAAGCATGCTTCCGAAGCCAACATGTATTACTTCCACCCAAGGAGGGGGAAGCCAATGCATAACCCCTCATTCATTCATGAGTGGAAGGATAAGTTCTTCTACGTCTCCTGCCCCGAGGGCTGGCGCTTCAAGTCCGACTGGGGGGAGGCCTACGTCATCATCAAGAGATGTCCCCCACTGCTCTGAGATGAAGAGGCTGCAATAGTAGCTCACTTGCTTGTGATGGGGACATTCCAGGCAAAGTCGTTGGTGGAGGAGGAGGTCCCCCTAGTCTTTGTTGGGATTAGCCCAGTCCCCCTCGGTAGGAGGTTCTGTGGTTAGTGCGTCTTCCACATTCTTTTCTTTTTCCACTAATGTGCTAACTGTTTTCCTTTGTTGTTTCACAGAAGTGCCAATAGATGGCAAGGAATGTTTGTTGGCGAAGGTCCGAGCGAAGCAGGCTGGGAAGAAGGCCAGAGGACAAACGTCGAAGAGGTCCGGCGATGAAGATGCCCCCTGCCCCGGTGAATGGGGGAGATTCGAAGGGGAAGCAGTCTGTGGTGGCACCGAAGAGGATGGTTGAGGCGCTGAAGAACCCCACCACTGGGAGAGAGGCGCCGAAGAAGCCTGCCACCAGGGAAGAGGCGCCAAAGAGGCTTGCCACCGGGGAAGAGGCACCGAAGAGGCCCATGGAGGGGCTCGAGGCGGGAAGGAAAAGGCCCACTGTTGACACGCCGAGGGAGGAGCCCCCGCAGAAGCTTGCCAACACAGATAGGCAGGCCGAGGAGGTGATGCGGAGGTCCACGCCTGGGGAGCGCC